CGAGATTACTAAGGAAATAATTTCTAATAACTTATTTCCATAATGAAATAGTGATGCCTACAGTGTTTGTTTGTCATGGTAAGCTATGCTTTTAATGATTCTTAGATCTTGGAAACCAAAGTGGGGTATAGCAGGATGCTCTTATTAAGAATCACCTATGAGTGTAAATGGGTTGCTTCTATGAGAATTGAGAAGGTTAAATGCTTTAGAGCACTCATGAAAAATGATGAGTTGTTCAAAGTCAAAATGAACACAACCATGAGAACCAACCTATGTCTAGAAATATTCTGTGTGGAGTCCATTATCTTGGTTTGCACAAATAGTTGAACAGTTCAAGACATTATGTTACTGATTTGCCAGTAAATGCGATAGTCTTTCACAGTGGCGTAGCTAGCAATTACAATGAGTGTGGTCATTTAACCAGTTATCATTAATGTCACCTCTAAACAAACTATCAACATTAAAGATCACATGATACCATATAAATTCCATATATTTTCAATCACATTGACAAAATTAATTCAAACTAGTCAAATTGCAAACAAAACGAAGTATTGGGACATTAATATTATCACTTCGATAAAATAGTCAATAAATCTCATGATATGGTGGCACCTTTTAGTTTTTAAAATTCATTATTGCATGACATATCAATTAGTAAGAAAATTTTATAAAATTTATTAGTTTGTATTGTATTTTTCTTCTAGAAGTTTGAAAATTTTGTATAAATCTGATTGCTATTTTTAATTGTACCGAATCAATTTGTAAACTGCAAAATAAGTTTTTTGTTTATTGGGTTCAATTTGTTAAAATTCAAAACTTTTGAACGTTGTAAACATTTTTGGAATTCCAGTGGCATCACCATAGCTGTAGCTCTGCCCTTGGTCTTTCACAAAGGAAGGTTCAAGGCCAAAAGCTATCTCTCCATATGAAGGATATTTTTAAATTTTATTTTCTTCTAGTCTGTATTTACATCTTTCATTTGTGTGGGGTATTATTGGAAAATGGTTTTGAACCATTAAGGGTTTTTATTTTTTATTTTTTTTAGCTTATGTTTATGTGCAGGGTCCATACTTCCTTTTAGGTGGGTCCAAGTAGTGATGTGTTCACCTTCATGTGGTGATTAATTACATGTATTTGGTTAATTAAATCATTAGGGTGTGTTTGGTAACGTTTACGTTTTCAGTTTATATTTACAAAAATTTTATAAACTGGTTTTTGTTTATTTTTTGTTTATTTTTAGAAAAACATAAACTACAAACGCGTTTGGTAATTGACAAAATGTTTAAAAATTTTTAAAAATATAAAAAAGAGTGAGAAATGGCAAGTGGTGGCAAGTGGCAGCGGGAGACGGTGGTGGAAAGTAGTGACGGTAGGTGGTGGGTAGCTGCTGGTGGCAGGTGGGTGGTGGTGGTGGTGGGTGGGTGGAAAAAAAAAAACTGAAAACTCAAAATGGAAACACATTTTTTGTGTTTTCATTTTTTGGCCAAATTTATAAATGAGACCACTGATTTATAAATCAAAAATTTTACCAAACAAGTTTTTATTTGAATTTTTAAAATTTTTGTAAATATAAAGAGAAAACTGAAAACGTAAGTGTTACCAAACGGCACCTTAGTAGGTGAATTAGAAATGGACTCCAAAGTATACCATTTAAGAAGGGTAGTTATGGGTAGGGTTGTGCAAAATACTGTCCAATTCACATCGATTTGCATCAATCCGCACTGCTCTATCCGCTAACCGTGGTTTAAATTTTAAAATTTATAATCCGCCTTCGAAACTGCTCCGCTTTGCTATAGTTAATACATATATATTGGGTAAATTACACTTATAGCCTCGGAGGTTTGGGTTTAGTACATATCACCCCCTAACGTTTGGCAATTACACTAACCCTCCTGTTATTGAACTCATGCACTCTTTTTTCGTGCTTTGCTTTGCTTTGCTTCATTTCATTTCCTTTTTTTTTTTTCCTTTCCCTTGCTATACTTTTTTTTTCAATATAAATTTCTCTATTTTTCTACTAGGAGTTATTGCCTTTTATATAAGTAGGGTGATGTAGGACGAGTAGGGATTACCTTCCTACAAGTAGTGAGCCCAGTTTAATTGTACTGGCAGCAGCAACAATAGACTTATAGGGTTGGATTTGGTGGGATTTTGTGATTGCAAAAGTATTTAAAAATAGGAGTTCAAGAGTTTGTAAAAAGGTAGCGTTTTTGGGAATGAAAACACAAGTATTAAGGGATAGTTGGGTGGTTGTTCTAAACACTGTGAAGAGTGACGTAGCCAGTAACCTTGCTTGATAGAAGAAGAAGAAGAAGAAGAAGAAGAAGAAGAAGAAAAAGAAAAGAGAGTGAGAGAGAGAGAGAAGTGCTGCACCCTCGCAAGGGATAGGCCAATTACACAAACATAATTTTAAATTTTCATAATATTAACTTTTCTATTGAATCATTGAGATTACACGCCTATTTATAGGCTAAAGACTCCTAATTCTATAAGGACTACTACTCAAATTTAGAAACTAAAAATATTTAGCAACTACCAATATTTTAAATTTAGACCAATTATGATTTCCAATTATACTTCAATTATAATAGGAAACTTTAATGACTTCTAATTCGACTTCAATATCAAAATAAGAAACCTAACTTTTGACTACTAAAATTATTTTAGACATAATAAAACCTATATATAAGACCCATTTAATAACTTGACTCAAAATGAAACCCATAGGTGATCCCTACAACCTATGTCCAACAATTATTGGAATTACTATTATACCCTTAATCACGAAAACCGACTATAATGACATGAAGACTCAAAATTATTCCAAATCTTTAATTCTTGATGCTCTAAATGTGCTTCATGTGAATTCCAGATTTGTTCTTTTTTTTCTTTCCATGATCTTCATCACAAGGGGATTTGTGAAATGAGACTATTAATCACAAGGGTGAGAATGTAATTTTCAGAACGTCAGGAGGTATCAATTGGACTAAACCTCAGGGGTGTCAGTTTAATTTATCCTATATTTTTTTAACTTATAATGAAATATTAAATTAAAAACGAGTGTGATAGAGATTTAATATGTGAAATTTTTTACAAATTAGTAGCTATATATATAAAAAATGCTATGTAAAATTAGTTTGTGTTATATATGTGAAAAATATTATGCAAAGATTTTATAATTTGTTAGAATTTTCTGCAATCTGCCCAAAACTTTTCAAACCGCAATTTGCTAATCCGCCAATCCTCTATTCGGTTTATAATTTTACTCTCAAACCGCCCGAACCACACCGCGCACACCCCTAGTTATGTATTGGTAGAATAGGGCACTTTTTATGATGTTTATATACTCTAGCCTTGTACATGGGGTTAGGCCCCAAGGGGCACCCTAGTTTGTGAGGTTGGACCTCGTTCAATGTTAGTTCATGATGCTTGTGAGCGTGCATGTCACCGTGTCGCACCAAATAGAATTAGGTTTGGCACATGTACGGGTCGGGTCGGGCCGTTAGACTATTATTTTTTTGAGTAAAATTTGTTAGAGTAAATTACACTCACCTCCCTTGAAGTTTGAAGAAAATACAAATAGCCTCACACTTTTGACAAATTTACCTTGACCTTTCACAAGGTTTTAACTCACATAACACTGGGTCTTTTTTTATTAGATTCATTAATCATATGGAAGATGTACCAAAAAAAAATAAAAATAAAATATCATATGAATGAAAAATGATGTTATCATCTCCTTCCTACTAAAATATATATTTATGTTTGTTTATTTCAGTGTTTACCCGCCATTGACATTAGTTTCGGTCACTTAACCATACTAAAAGGGAGTTTAATGTACTTATGTCAATAGTGTAGAGCTAGTTGTGTAAGCACTGTGTTGGTTCGCTAGACACAGATTGAAGTGTTGTCTTCTGTGTGTTGTAGATCATTGTATTTTGGGAGGCAACGTTCATCAAACTTTTAAGTATGAGGGGCGACTTTTGTCTCAAGGGCATTGTGTCAAATACAAGCCTCGATCTGTTGTGTTTTTCTGGAAAAACATGTTTGCAAGTTTAATTTTGTTCTCCAGTTTTGGTGTTACTTCTAGTTTCTACTGCTGTTTCTGATTTGCATCATATTAGTTTATTTCTGGTTCTGTCATATTATCACAGTATCACATGCAAAGTACACCTAAGATTGTCCAACACTAGGACCTCTGGAGATTGAATTAGCTCATGAATAGGTTTGTTGAGGGGGATGGAAGTAGCACTCACTGCTGTTGGAGATGTTGGTCATCATCATGAAGCATGAAGCTATGTACCTGTGATCAGGTCAAGCACTATACCAGTTTAGATAATAATATCATACTTGATGGTTTAGTTTGATGGATGATCTTCTTTGGTCAGCATCTATTGTAGACACGACAATTCCAAAGTGAGCAGGATCAGACAAACTCTAAATGATTGCTCTGTATCTTTTCCTCGAAGTCTTGAGTTTCTACCTTTGGGATTGATTATTAAGGCAGCGGAAGTTTACCCTAATAAGAATGGTGCATCATGGATGTCTTGTGATAATTTGTTAGCATACCTTCCTTGCATATGACAAAAGGGACGCATAACCTTTAGGAACAACTTTTTGGATTATGTTGACATTTATGTTTGCGAATCTTCTCATTGATGAACTTAGATTCTCTGCTTCTTATTATATTCTAGGTGATTTTTATGGATTTTGCATTCTTTGGTTAGATGGAAATAGTATTCTGTTTGTGGTGCTTGAGTTTATGAATGGCTAAATAACCTCAAGACTGTCATTATTTCTAAGACTAAGTCACTGTTTTCTTCTTTGTCTGTACATGGAGTTAGAATGTTGCTTGGGGGTGGGTTTTTGATTGGAAGTTCTTCAGAAAATCTGAGCAGAAGCACACACATCCCAGAGAAAAAACCATGGAAAGCAAATCTAAAACAACTTTCTTAATGTCTTTTTAGTATTTATTTTCATCATTACTTCTTGTCCAGCTTCTGCTGCATCTTGGTTGAAAGATAAACTATTGCCTGCATACCTTAACGAGGGTACACGATGAGTGGGAGTGCCAGAAAACGTAAATCTCTGTGGGATAGCAAAGAAGACATTCAGCTTCCTGCTCAAATCAATGAAAAGAATGCTTGTCATGGGAATGAAAACTATTCCAATCTTCATGTTAGTCATGATTCAAAGTTGCCTGACTTGGGAGTTGACAATGCATTGAAGTCAAAAGATTGTTCTGGGAGGTCATCTTGGGAATCTTCACAGGGAAACGATGGCCAGAAGGATGAAAGCAGAGACTTCAATGATATTCCAGAAATCCGAAAGGCTCGGGATGAGGGCAAGAGCTATCATCTATCTCCAGGGTCTGATGGATGGAAACAGCAAAACCATAGTGGGAACCAGTCACGCAGGTTTGTGATTTTATAAACCTGATTAATGAAACTCAATTTCTGCGAATGTTATTCTTTTTTCAAGAGAGTTTGTATTTACAAATGTTGCTTTTTAATTTATTTTTTGTTTCTATATAAATACGTTTCTATTTCTTATATTTTTTTCCTAAAAAAAAATTCCCACATTTTTTCCTTAATATTTTTAGTTGGCATAGTTTTTGTAATTGAACTTTGATTATTTTTATTATCCTCATTAGGTACAGGAGGAGCAGGAGCCAGAGCAGAAGCAGGAGTAGGAGCCGAGCCAGGGACAGGAGTAGGAGCCGGAGCCAAGGCAGAGGCACGAGCAGAAGTAGGAGCAGGAGCAGGGACAGGAACTGGGGTAGGTGCAGGAGCCCACTTGGTGATTATAGACGAGAGTCGTACAGATCGAGTGACAGAAGAAGTGGATCGGGGGTATCATCTCAACCATGTAGAGACTTTACTCTTGGTAAATGCAGGAGAGGCAATGAATGTAGGTTCCTTCATCAGGACAACCTCAGTCACAGGGATGGGGGACGATTAGAGAGAGACCAAGCAGAAAGATGGAGAATTAGAGAGGAACGTGGAGGAAATTTTTATGATGGACAGAAGGATGAGCGTCCGATGAATAGCAGCAAATCTACAATGCTCTGTAATGATTTTCTGAAAGGTAGGTGTCAGAGGGGATCATCATGCAAATATCTCCATCACGATGCTTCTGGTGATAACAGTGAAAGAGGCAATCGACATTCATCTGTTGATCATGATTACAGGCGACAACCGCGCAAGAATTTCAATCCTCCTTGCAAGTTTTTTATGATGGGGAAATGCCAAAGGGATAACTGCAGGTTTTCTCATGATTGTCCTGCTCCCATTAATCTTGAAGGAATGCCACAGGATGATAGGCAGGGCCATGATTTTGATGACATGAACAAATCGTGGGATGGTCCAAAATGGGGTGAAGCAACTGCTGTCTCGGACATTGCACAGTCTACTAGGTGGGTTAATGTTGGAAAAGGGACTTCCATTGGTTCCATAACTGCTGAGAAACACGCTGATGATAGAAGGGGCCATGATTTCGATGACATGACCAAATCATGGAATGGTCCAAAATGGGGTGAAGCAGCTGCTGTCTCAGACGTTGCAGAGTCCACTGGGTGGGGTGATGTTGGAAAAGGGACTTCAATTGGTTCCATAACTGCTGAGAAACAGACTGATGATAGACGGAGCCACTGTTTGGATGACAAGAACAAACAGTGGAATGATCCCAAATGGGGTGATGCAACTGATGTGTCACAGAATGCGAAATCCACTGGGTGGTGTATCGGTAATGTTGAAAATGTGAATTTAACTGATTCAATGAATGCTGAGAAATGTGCTGATGATAGTTTGGATAATGAGAATCGAATGTGGGGCAGTCCATTATGGAAAGATAAGGTTGTTGACAGAGATGAAAATGTGTCCCGTCAATTGGGTGGTGGTAGTCATGTTGTGAACATAGGAAGTACTGGATCAAAAGATGTGGCAAAATTATTTGATAGGGAAGAGTCCCGACTTACTTCCCATGGTTTGCAATCTCAAACTCCATATGGAATCCCCGAAAATGTTCAAGAACAAAATCAGATGCAAGAAGCTTCAGGCCGGCAGCTTGCTACCACAGTCATGCATTCAGTTTTTCCTGTAAATTCTCAGATTCAGCAGCAGCATCACCACACAAAGATGAGGGACAATAATGCAAAAACAGATGATTTAAATTCAGTCAACAGTCTAGACATCTATGGAAATGCTAGTCATCCTGCTCTTGTGCCTGTACATAATTTCAATCAAAATCCTGATAGTTTTGGCCCTCAACCTCCAAGTTTTGGTGGAGTTGATCAAAGTAAGCACATGATTTCTATAAACCCCTCAAAAGGACATAATATTGATTCGAATTGGTCACTGCAACAGAACTTCTCTCCATCCAATCTGCAAAATCAGACACAGATTCAACATGGAGAGTCTCTCAAACCAATGGTGAACTCCGGCTTGCCTCTGAACATTGTGGACAGTGAGCAGGTTGCTCAAATAACTAACCTTCAAGCATCTCTGACGCAGATATTTGGGAATGGACAACTCCCTCAACTATATGCTGCACTAAACCTCCCAAATTCCACAGAATTGGCGCCTTCTCTTCCTGATGCTGTGACCCTTCTTCCCCCCATTACTTTAATGGATGCTCAGCCTGATAAAGCTACAATGTCCCAAAATCCCTTAGGTGATAGCACAGAGCCTAACAAGCCTGGCAACTATAGCCAACCACCTGGGTTTTTGTCTAATTCCGTTGAACAGAAAAACAAAATGCTCTCGGAACATTCAACTGCATCAGCCGCTGTTGGTCTTGACAATGACATACTCGACAATAATGGCTGTCGTGTGGAAAATGATCACAGAAGTCCAGAGTTGAGACAGCAAAAGCCAGTTGAGAATTCAGGTGTCGAGGAAGACAGTAAACCAATAGCTGACAAATGCAAGCAAGAGCCGGAAAAAAATCCCGCAGAAAATGTGAATGCAGATGCCAGCATTGGGGATGGCGCTAATGGAAAGGATGAAAAGGCAATGCGGCTGTTTAAAATTGCACTCGTGGAATTTGTTAAGGAGCTTTTAAAGCCCAAATGGAAGGAAGGCCAGCTGAGCAGGGAAGTTCACAAAACTATTGTAAAGAAGGTGGTTGATAAAGTGACCAGTACCATTCAAGGAGTTAATGTCCCGAAGACGCAAGATAAAATTGATCAGTATCTTTCATATTCTAAACCCAAGCTTGCCAAACTCGTCGAGGTGAGTTCCTAGTTGGCTGTCTCTATTTTTCTGACAGATTATACGTTCAGCTGGTCAACCCAATAGATAATTTGTTCTTGTGTCCATTCAATTGCTAGGTCTAATCTGTTTTGTCAGCCATCAGTTGAGTTTTGTCAGGTTTTTGTTTAAGTGCAGAAGCAAATTGGGCAGTGTTGTTTTCTTGAATTTTGGCACTTGGCCTGTGTGAACCAGTAACACTATTGGTGTTGCTTTTCATAATTAAGTTGCTTATTTGTGATAATATCTGATGAATTTGATATTTGTGAAAAATATTGAATTCCTAGGAAAACATAAATCTAAGTTGATTATTTTATGTAAAATGCTGTGTTATACTAAAGCTTGATTTTTCTCTTGCAGGCATACACAGAGAGATTTTTGAAGAGTGCTTAAAACACCTAGTGCTGCTGATATTTCCCCTCATTATATTAAACTTTCGATGGGCTAAACATTGAGTTTCATTGTGTATATGTGGTTTTTTCCCGGAGCTTCCATGAATTGTGTAGTTTATGTTTTTGTTTCTAAATATTTTTTGCAATTTGTGTAGTTTATGTTTTTGGAGTTTGATAGGCGTTACTTCTCTCTTACTTGTAGATATTGTTAAAGATACAATGATGATGGGTACTTGGTGGTTATCTTTTCTAAATGCTGCTTTTATTTCAGTTATCTGCATCATACATGCTTGACTTTTGCTCTATCAAGATGGAGCTTGTCATTGTTTTTTGGTCTAGCTTGAATTCTATGCACCCATCTAGCTATGTGTCTCTGCGGGCACCTTGATGTCTCCACCCTTCGAGCAGTTCCACCTACGGGTTCATATCATCGTCTTTTCCTTTTTCTTCTCCCCATTTTTTATTTATTTTGTAGAAAATTTAATGTATAAAGAAAAATAGAGAATTGTATTATTGATTGATTTATATTGATATCTATTACAATGATTCATGATTCCTATATATAGAAGAGGGTGAGTGTGTAGTAGGTAAGGAGTAGGTGAAGTGGAGGTGGTAGTGGTGTAGTGGGTTAGTTTTCCCGGAGCTTCCATGAATTGTGTAGTTTATGTTTTTGTTTCTAAATATTTTTTGCAATTTGTGTAGTTTATGTTTTTGGAGTTTGATAGGCGTTACTTCTCTCTTACTTGTAGATATTGTTAAAGATACAGTGATGATGGGTACTTGGTGGTTATCTTTTCTAAATGCTGCTTTTATTTCAGTTATCTGCATCATACATGCTTGACTTTTGCTCTATCAAGATGGAGCTTGTCATTGTTTTTTGGTCTAGCTTGAATTCTTTGCACCCATCTAGCTATGTGTCTCCGCGGGGACCTTGATGTCTCCACCCTTTGAGCAGTTCCACCTACGGGTTCATATCATCGTCTTTTCCTTTTTCTTCTCCCGTTTTTTTATTTATTTCATTTTCTATTTTGTGTGAAGTACATCTCATGTTTCTTGCTTCAGTCAAACTGTTCTTTGCAGTCCTTGTTCTCCTGGAAAATTTCTGTTGATTTATCTTCTCGTTATTGGTGTCATATTTCCATGATAGATTCGGAGTTAATTGATCATCCCCTGGTATTGTTCAGTTGTGGATTTCCTCTGTGGTCTTTGTCTATTGTTGATTCAGACGTAATTGATTCTCACATGGTCTTGTCTTCTAGATGACATGTATTTGGGTGTCATTGGTGTGGATTGAATTTCTTTTGGAACGAGATTTTCATTTTTTTAGCTTTTGTTTCTTTTCCGCATTACAAACCTCATCTTTGGCTTTTTGATGGAATTTTCAAGTTCAGGTCGTCATTCATTTGCACAGCATTTTGTGTAGGCTTATGGTTTTTTCTTGTTCTGCTGCCTGGTATGGGGTGGATAAGTGAGCTCTGTAATTGAGTTTTAAATTTGTGCCCCATTATTATGCATGAGTAATGCGAGAGGTTCTAAAAATTTTATTAAAAGTTCTATCAAATCTCACATAGGCGTGGAATTTACACAATGTGGGTTTCATGCGGGTCTCATATCCATGTGAGGCATTTGGTAGATAATTTTTGGTAGAATTTTTAGAATCTCTAGCATATTTGATTATGCATATGGATGTGTTGCATGACCTAATATATGAATTGCATGGTATCTGTTTAGCTCATAGTTAGGGGTGGGCAACGGTTTATCCGAACCGCTCAAACCGCCCAATCCGCCCAACCCGCATATAAATGGGCGGTTTCGGGAGTAGGTGATGTGGTAGTGGTGTAGTGGGTTAGGTTTAGTGGAGTAGGTTTAAGTGGGTGAAGTAGGTGGAGAGTAGGTGGATTTTAACATATTTCATTTTCTATTTTGTGTGAAGTACATCTCATGTTTCTTGCTTCAGTCAAACTGTTCTTTACAGTCCTTGTTCTCCTGGAAAATTTCTGTTGATTTATCTTCTCATTATTGGTGTCATATTTCCATGATAGATTCAGAGTTAATTGATCATCCCCTGGTATTGTTCAGTTGTGGATTTCCACTGTAGTCTTTGTCTATTGTTGATTCAGATCAGACGTAATTGATTCCCACATGGTCTTGTCTTCTAGATGACATGTATTTGGGTGTCACTGGTGTGGATTGAATTTCTTTTAGAACGAGATTTTCATTTTTTTTAGCTTTTGTTTCTTTTCCCCATTACAAACCTCATCTTTGGCTTTTTGATGGAATTTTCAAGTTCAGGTCGTCATTCATTTGCACAGCATTTTGTGAGGCTTATGGTTTTTTCTTGTTCTGCTGCCTAGTATGGGGTGGATAAGTGAGCTCTGTAATTGAGTTTTAAATTTGTGCCCCATTATTATGCATGAGTAATGCTAGAGGTTTTAAAAATTTTATTAAAAGTTCTACCAAATCTCACATGGGTGTGGAATTTACACAATGTGAGTTTCATGAGAGTCTCATATCCATGCGAGGCATTTGGTAGATAATTTTTTATATAATTTTTTGAATCTCTAGCATATTTGATTATGCATATATGGATGTGTTGGCATGACCTAATATATGAATTGCATGGTATCTGTCTAGCTCATAGTCATGCGTATATGGATGTGTTGGAATGCTTGGTTTGGGCGTGTATGTGCTGCTGCTGATCCTGGTTTAAATGTCACCCACTATTTGAAAGGAAGTTAATTTAACCGGTGGTGGTATGTTATGTAGAGCTCAGTTATAGTAGCAGGTTAGTGGTGGTGGTGGTGGTGGTGTGAGGAAAATGTTTCACATTTTCAAAATGGGAAATGTTTTGCTCCCACATGAATTTATTTTTCACTGATTCTTTTTGTTAATTTTTATTTTTATTTTTTTGGTGTACTAACGCTGTGTTTGGTTGGAGGATTTGAGGAGGGATTTGGAAAGGAAAAAGGAAAAGTTAGGTAAAATGTGAATAAAATATACTTATATTTTACATAGTTTCATACATCTTTTCCCTTTTTCTTTCCAAATCTCTCCCCAAATTTTCCAACCAAACATACCATAAACGTTGAAAACATTAAAACATATTTTGTCCAAAAAAAAAAAAAAAGGGTGTGTCAAGATAACATTTGGTATCATTTACGTTTTTTGTTTATGTTTATAAAAATCTTATAAATTGGTTTTTGTTTATTTTTAAAAAAACATAAACTGTAAATGCATTTGGTTTGAACAAAATGTTTGAAAATATAAAAAATATGTTTGTTAATGTCTAAAATATTTATATTTATTTTTTATTATTTATGACATTGGGATCATATACATTATAATTGAAAAAAAAAATTAGTTAAAAAAAATTAATTGAAAAAAAAAATTACTTAAAAAAATTTGGTTAACCAAAATTTTTAATTTCTGTTTAAAAATCAACTTAAACTCATGTTTTGAGTTTACGTTTTTTCTTTAAATTTACAAACTGAGACAATTATTTATAAATTAAAAAAATTATTAAACAAATTTTTATTACAAATTTTAAAATTTTTATAAATATAAATTAAAAATTAAAAATAAAATAGTTACCAAACAGGTCAAATGTTACTGATTTCTATTTAAAATTTAAGCCGAACAGGGCTTTGACACTCTCCTATGGGCTTGGTGCCTGGATCCTTTGTTTTTATTAAAATTTAATTTTGGTTCGTCCACTTTTAATCGTGGTGATAATTAATTCTTGTAATTTAAGTTAATTTGTAATGTTAACTCTTTATCTATCAATTATTAATAAAATTAACCGAAGTTATCATTTGAATCATATATGATACTTTTTTCTTATTTTATTCGCATTCTTATATTTTTATTAGAATTTCACTTTAATCTTTGTTTTTTTTATCAAAATTTTATTTTGGTCTCTCTGCTTATTTACTTCTGTCAGCCTTATTAATGATGCATGAATGGAAAAGTAAAATTTGCAAGGATATTGTCCGTGTTTCAATTGTGAATTTATATAAAAATTTAAACAATCATAAATTTAGATATAGATTTAAAAAATATAAAAATATAAAATAAAATAAAGGAAAAATTATTTATAAGCCCTGTTAGAGAGACTTATGTTACATATGGTCCTACTAAAAAATTGACATTCCCATAAGTCCTGTGGGAAGTTTGTTGATACATTTACCCTCAATATTAATTGTTAATATCATAAATAATACTAAAACTATATATAGGAAATTGAATGTTACCATAGATTCTATCTATATAAACGTAACGTAACGTGACACCTATGATCTATGGTAACATGCAATTTCTGCATGTTACTATAGATCATATCTACATAAACGTAATGTAACGTGACACCTACATAAACGTAACGTGACATTTATGATTTATGACAACATTCAATTACCTATATAAGAAATTGTATGTTATCATAGATCATATCTACATGAACGTAACGTAACATGACACCAATATAAACGTAACGTGACACCTATAATCTATAGCAACATTCAATATATGAAACGTAACGTGACACCAACATAAACCAGCAACATTTTCACATTCAATTTAAAAAAATAAAAACTCATTAAGTTTGCGAAACGTAACGTGTTACGTTACGTTATGTTCATGTAGGTGTCACGTTACGTTTATGTAGGTGTCACGTTACATTATGTTTATATGTTACGTTACGTTTATATAATTGTCACGTCACGTTACGTTTATGTAGAATCTTATGGAATATATTTCTATCTAAATAGGACTTGAGACTCTATATGAAATTACACAGGACTTAACCTACCATAAGTGTTTGAAATAAGTCTTCCTAAAATAAATTTACATTTTATTTATTATAATATTTTTTTCAAAAAAAAAAAAAAAAAAAAAACTCTCTTATCTTCAAGATAAAAATTAGCGTATAAATCCCCAGCAAAAACTACACTTGGACTGAGAGAGAAGAAAATGGATTTAACAGCATGGAGCTTGAGGGAAGCTTGTGGTGGGGGTTGGGGTTCAACAATAGCAACTAGGCCCAACAATGTTTGCTTTCTCAGGATTTGCCATAATTTCTCCTTCCCGTTTTGGTCATACCCATTTGCCCAAATTCCCTCCAAGTCCTTTGTTGTCCACGCCGGGAAGAAAAATTCACATTCCGAGCCAGTTTTGAAGCCAACCATCGTCCAAAAAGTGTCAATGCACGACGAAGACCACCTCCTCTTTGATGAATTTGAAGATGGTAATCACTTCTTATCTTTCTTTTGTTTAAGAAATACCAAAAAATTTCTTTTGTTTCTTCCTTTGATTAACTGCCCTCATATATTTCCTTCGAGTTTCTGAATATTTTTGTTCTCAAGTTTGTTTGTTTGTTTTGATGGTATTTTGGGCGATTGAATTTTTGTTTTTGTATTTTTTTTTTTTTTTTGTTCATAAAGTTGGGCATTGTTTATGAGAGTGTGCATGTTTGTGCCCAGAGGGGGTGAATATTGCTACTCTGTAATTAGTTACTCCCTCCTTTCTTTTCCACAATGTTCGTCCTTTTGAGGCTGGGATGAAATTTCAAAGCACAAAATCTAACAAGTACGGACACATGAGACATCAATTTTCAAAAAATACATAATTTTATATATTTATCATGTGTCATAGATAAAGATAAATAATTTTTATATGTCTTACACATTGTTGGGCCTATTTCCAAAAAGCTTAAGCTTAACACATCTTTGGCCAATTTTGTGGGAGTTATACATAATGAGTACAAAAATATCAGTAAGTCCTTCAAATTTTGTTCTCCTTCTTTTTCTTTTTTCTTTTTTCTTTTTTCTTTTTTTTTTTCTTCTTTTTTTGTTATTTTTAATTTTGGGGTCATCAATTTTAACCAGGCAAGTGCATTAGTTCTTATTTAGGGGGTCAAGGTTGGAGAGGAGACTTATTTCAGAAAATATAAATTAAAAAACTCGCACAGGGGTCAATAGGCTTGGGTATTTTAGGCTTTTATCATAAGAGAAGGTTATGAAACGCTATCTGAAACTTGGGGAGTTAAAATTGTTGTTCAACATTTATTTGATGTGACTCAAGGTGGTTAACCTAAAAGAGAGGGCAATGGATGCCCTTGTGATACAATTGAGGTGTGTCATTAGAATGGATAGGTGTCAGATATTATGGATGCCCATGTGATATATAATACCCATGTGATACAATTTTGGTAAGTTATGTTTGTTTAGATGGATAGTATTTAACCTTGAGTTCTGCAAAAGATTCTGTTACATTCTTTGAAAAGAAAAAATGGAGTAGAAATCTTTAAGAGATCTTTTAATATGACTTAATATCCAGTGGTTTTGCAGAACCATTTCATTTGATATGTATTGTTTGCAGTTTAGACATTTTAAAATAGTGTTTTTCCCTATAAATATTTTGGTTGGCTTCAGAATCAGGACTAACTGCTATTATTATGAATTTGTTCAGTAATTTATTCAAGCAGTGAATTTATTCTTGCTTTCAGATAATCACATATTAAAAGCTTAAGGATCTGTCAAAATCAAACTAACTAAACCAAACTAAGCCTTGTGTCCTAATCAAGTGTGGTCATTGGCTGCATAATCTTTTTTTGCCATTATGTTCCATCAAGGGCTATATGCTCAGTTAAATTAAATAAATTCATATATTTTTTCATTGTTGCATCTCATGTCAGCTTAGGTCTTCCCTTCTTCTAGCATCTCCATTTATGGTGATCATATCACTCTTCCTTATTGTTGTACAGGGGACTTGGGGAATGATGATAATTATTTTGAGGACGAGTATTTGCCAGAAGATGTTGAACCCTATGTAAGTGTTGTGAAGTAGAATGATTTTTACCATTTTGTAGTAAATGAGGGAAGTTAACATTTTATGTAACCATTGTCCTTTCTTTTGAAGGTTGGGGATGGAGATGGAGGAGGTGGAATCTCACTTGCTGGGACATTGTGGGATAAAGAAGCATTAGCAATAGCTGAAGAGGTTTCTCTATCATTTGATGGTGACTTGAAAATATATGCCTTTAAGACATTACCAAATTCCATCATTCGGGTGCGCATTGAGAAGTCCTCAAACAAGTAAGCATCTATGACACTATTGAAGAGAAATGAAATTGGAGACTGCACCACCAATGTGCAATTCACACCACATTCTCCCAAAAATTTATAGAAAAATGGAACATTGACTTTTTTAATGTAATGTTAAAAAGAAAAAAGAAAAAAAGAAAGAGGAGGTAAAAATGGAACATGAATAGTTACTCTCTTTTTGCTCGTAACAAATCCAAACCTAAAAATAGATTGGTCAATATTTGAGTTCAAATGAAATGGATGACTTGTGAGTGAATTATATGTCCAAAATGTGACAAATTGACAATGTTTTCTCACTCGTGGATCTACATAAACAAGTTTTGTTTCTTCTCTTTCTGTTTGTTAAAGGATCTCCTTTTTTTTTGTTAAGGTTATTTATCCTGCTTTTTTCTTTTATTTAATTTTTTTTTTCCCAATGAACTTTGATTATTTCTCATTTGAACTTTACAAAATAGTAAAGGAGCATAGGCTTTGCATAACAATTGCTCTGAGAGGTTTGTGGTAAATTCCTTCCTGTCTTTCACAAAGTGGGTCCTTTGTCCCATCCTTCCTTATTCTCTAAATCACTGGAAGGTTTGGTATGCCCAATGCTGGTTCTATTAAGCTTGGATTTCATTGGATGCATGTTGGGAAGAAAGTAATGCTGTGTTTATTTTCTTCTATTCTATTTTCCATTTTGGCAAAATTTGTCAAATAACTATACTAGTTCTTTATATTCTTGAAGTCTTTCCATTTCGTTTTTTCAAATGATCCTGATCGAGGCCATAACCAAGTTTTGATCCCATCAATCTCAAATGCTATGATCATTGGAGGGGTCGATGGTTACATAGTTATTAATACCCAGGTTGTATGTAAAGTTTCACTGGAAAAATGGTACAATTAAAGTTTAATACTTTTTTTTTCTCGATAAATACAATTAAAGTTTAATACTGTTCCAACTAATTTAACAAGCCTTATACTGGCCTGTCTTGGTTGTACTGACAGTTTTGGCCCATACCCCAGAAATCTGATACCCAAGATGAGGTCAGTTTAATTGTATTTAAACAAAAATTGAACCACTAATATATTACGTAATAAATAAACTAAATAGAAACTTATAATGGTAAAGTTCTTTAAATCCTTTTTTGAAGTACTGAGAACTTAAGCTTGCTTTAGTTTAGTGATATATTTTTGTATATTTCACAGTGAATCTGTATTGGGCAATATAATTATGTTATTAGCTTGATAAATGAGTTTTTATGCAGATCTTAAACAATTCTTGTTAGGTTTAACATTATGTATATCTTTAAGTACATTAAGTTTTATGTGCAAATATCTTGTTTTGATAAATGTACCATACTTGTAGTGATAAATCCAAAATGGAATAAGTGCCTTGTCAACAACAAAAATGATATGCTGGCCGGTATTGGATTGATAACTATGGATGTTATAGACCTTACCAGGCTTTCTTTGCATAAAGAGGTTGACCTCATAGTTGAAGCTGAGTTTTCATGCTAGTCAATATTTACTAGTGCTCTAGACAATGGTCCCTGTTCAAATGGTTTCAACCATTTTCAATATTGAATCAACACAGATCTAATTTAAAAAAAAAAAATTTGTCTTGATTTTGTTTTTACGTGCCTGTGACCATCTTGTCCCACTTCTGAATTCACGTTGAAATTGTGCCAACCTCTCCACGTAATGTGAGGTTTCTTGAAGGCTCTGATCTTCAGTGATATTTCGCAGGTCTGGTTCCCCCAGTATTACTGATATTGAAGCTTTCTCGTTGGCCTATAGAAAACGGTTAGATGAAGCTGAACTTTCTGGATCTATTCCCAATAACATCTCTCTGGAGGTATTACTTTCTTTTTATAGATCTTCCTCTCCCAGTGTTTTGTCAATTCTACAGCCATTACTTGTGGTTTGGGAAAGACGTCCCTTTATGCTTACTAGCATAAGAATAACATGAGTAAATTAGAATTACCTCCTTTGAGGTTTGGAGAGAATACATTTTGCTCCACAAATTTAGCATAATTACTTTAGGCTCCCTTAAAGTTTTAATTCACATAATACTTAGCTCCATTTTCATTAGTAATTGTTAGTCATATGGATAAAAAAAAAAATGATGTCCTCATATTTTTTTCCATTGAATTGTATATTTTTCCGTGTCTTAACACCATCTACATTAGTTTTAGTCTCTTTAGCTTTACTAAAAGAGAGGACAATGTAATTATGCCAAACTTGTGAGGCTTATTGTATTTTTCTAAACCTCAAGGGTGGTCATTGTAATTTTTCCTAATAACATTTAGCAGTTCAGTTGGGCTGAATATGTGCTTCATATGTGGGCTAGGACATTGTATGTGAGACTTTAGCCTATAGACAGAGAAGGTTTAATTGCTTAAATTAAAGTTGTGCCATCAATTGTAGGTTTTATTGGCAATGACATCTGCAGCATAATTTCTGAAATTGACCATGCGTACATTCTTGTTATAAGCTCATTACCCATTGCATCTGAAACAATCTGTTTCTTTTTAGGTGTCTTCACCGGGCGTTGAAAGGGTTGTACACATTCCACAAGACCTTGACCGGTTCAAGGATCGCCCTATGTATGTGAAATATGTCAGTGAGGTAGATGTGACTGGTTCTTCCACCAAAAATGATGGTGTTTTCAGGCTTGTTTCTTTTGATTTGGAAACAAACTGTTGCATCTGGGGTTTAGCAGATGTTAGGGTTAATAGGGAAAAAGCAGGGAAAGGAAGACCACTTAACAAAAAGCAACGGGAGTGGCGGTTGAACACACCCTTCGATTCCTTATGCTTAGTCCGGTTATATTCTGAAATTTGAACATTGACTCATACATCTTTGTACAAAACCATAAAAGCATATTTGTACAAAGCCATAAAAGATCTCCCTATTACATTGTAGTGGATAGATTTATCACCACAATAAGTATGATTATCTTCATTTTCCATATTTGGTTCTCCCTTATAGCTTTCTAAGTATGACTATTGACAATTGTGGTTTATGTCATGTATTTTTGTAAATTGCCTCTTTTCCGATTGATAATGTGTTGTTACACAACGAAGAGCGGAGGAAAAATGATAGGTATGAAGAATTTTTTCACTGCTTAATCAGTTATCCTTTTTCTGGTTTAAGGTCTAATATAATGATCTTTTTCTTTATTTATGAGAATTTGTAACTGAAATGACAAAGGATGATGCTTTTCCGGTGGAGATATATTGAGCATAATAGCTTTGTTGGGTAGTGCGGATCTTGATAAGTACTGAACACTAACCACTCGATCATGGATCTAACTTTGCGGTAAGGTTACGTTTGGTATTTCACACAGTGCTGCTTCTTGTCCCTAAATACATAGTAAAATTACAACAACTGTAGACGTAGCTGTATTTTGAGTGAACCACATAAATATTTGTGTTCTTGTGTGCTTAATTTCCTTTCATGTTTTATTGTTGTTTGTGTTTTGTCTCACATCGATTCTGGTTAGGTATATCAATTCCTAACAAGTTCATGTTTTGCAAATCTATGTATGGTGCAAGTTTAATTGCTCTTGTTCAGTAAAACCAACTTGACATCATCTTGTGCACAAGATGAACATGACATCCTACTATGCAAGGTATGGCTTCTCCATTGAACCTAACATACTTTCATCTTTTAAAATTGGTAATTCAGGCCTCGTTTGGCAGCCGAACTTTTTAGCCAAAAAGTCAAAAAGTTACTAAATTAGCCAAAAAGCCAACAACCCATACCAAAAAATCAAAGATTCTCTTTTCTCTCTATTTTTTGCATATCTTTTCTTAAAAAGCTAAAAAGTCATCCTAAATATACTAGTTTTTTTTAGCTCATATTTTAGTCAAATAGCTAAAAAGTTATTAAATTAGCCTGTTTCCAAATGAGGATATTAAAAAGATTTCTTGAGAAGAAGCTATCTGAGATGCTGTGCTTGAGCTTTGAGCTGATATGCCATAAACCTAAATTTGATTGTTTGGTTTAGTCCATTCTTGGATCTCCTAGACATTTGAAGAACTTTTCTCATAACTACATGTTTACTTGTTCACCGCATTACCTGACCACTGTTACTTCATTCAAGCCTATCCACAGCATTATGATTCCTTTTCATTTTATTTTCAGCTGATTTGTCCATCAATATTTAAAATTTACATCTATTTAGGCAAATTATAAACACTTACACTATATTTGGTTAGAAGATTTGGGAAGGGATTAAGAAAGAGAGAAAAAATTTAAGTGAAATGTGAATAAAATATATTTACATTTCACCTAATTTCACACTCTTTTTCCTTTTCATTTTTCAAATCTCCTAACCAAACATATCATTAATGAAACATTTTTTTTTTATTGAATAAACCTCAGGCAATTATGCCTTTCTTTGATATCTTCAATGTTGTATCTTTGTTGATATTGACATTGACATAGGCTTTCATTTAAAATTTTAAATGTGTTTAAATATAATGCTGAAGTATATTGAAGCTTTCCAAGTATAAGTTCTTGAGATTAATGTGTATTTTGCAGGAATACATGTGTTACCCATCATCTGACCAGTCAAATTCAACTCAGTGAAAACATAAACTTATTTAATTAAACTGAGCATATCCAGCAAAAAACAAAATCCCTAGTGTTTAAAAATATTTCTTTTCATAAAAAATGGAAAGGGGTTGTTAGGGTAGTGTGGATTCTAAGTAATACTTGACACTAACCACTCGACTATGGATCGAACTTATGACTTGTTGCCTTAATTCTATGAATAGTTGAGGGCAGGGTTGGCCTTGAGATTTCTACAGCCCAAGGTGAAATCTTAAATTGGGGCCCTTTATGTATAATAAAATTATTTATTCAAAATTTTACTTTGAAGGTGTATAACGTAAATTTAAAATTAATTTAATGTCAGTCATGCCTAGAATGAATGAGATATATAAATATATTTTTTGAGTTAATTTTTAAGAGTATATAGTATTAATATATACATAATTATTAAAACAATTGTAGAAAAATGGTAATTAAGTACTTGTAATTTTTTTTTTTAACTAATACCACACCCTTTTATCAAATGTTTGTTAAATCAATGGAGAAATATATATATATATATATATATATCAAATTTGTATTTGATGAAAATTAAAAAAGATAAAGCATTGGCGACATGTTTTTCATCAAATTTGATGAAAACGAAAATTTGTTGTCAAAGAAGAATTTTTAAAATGGTTTTGAAAATGCTTTAGGATTCGTTTGGATGTGAGTTGATTTTTTGATTTTTTTGACTTTTGTGAGAGAAAAAATGAAATGATTATGGGTTGAATGCGATGTTTTGTCTTATTAAGCTAAAAAATCTATTTGTCTTTTTATGGCTAAAATAGCCAAAAAGCCTGGCATGCCAAACGAAGGCTTAAGGATCTTTAATTTAGATTGTGAAGTTAAATTAATTAATTTGAAATTTTATTTTTAAACCTACTAATATCATAAGAGCTAAAATTATTTGAGAGCCCTTAAATTTGACAAAATTTGGGGGCCCAAGGCGACCGCCTTGCTAGCCTTGGGTTAGGGCTGGCCCTAGTTAAGGGTGTCGTTATTTCTACATCTCTTGTAACTTTCTTGATCATAATGAAATTTCAGCAATAGTAGATGTAGCCCTAATTTTAGTATGAATCACGCAAATCTTATGTTCTTATGCATGCGTGATTTACAATTCGTGTGAATTTGTTCTTTTTTGTTTTGTTTTGTTTTGTTTTTTATTTTATTTTATTTTATTTTATTTTTTTATCTTACTGATCTTGATTAGGTGCTTCGGATTCTTAGGAGTAGTAGCAATTGGTAGGTGAATGAGCATGGGGCAGTGAAGAGCAAAGAGAATGCAAAGGAAGTATAGCTAAGTTGCGGGGGACCATGTACTGTTTGCTTACACTTTATATAGCTTACCAATATCCCAAGATCTGCGGCTTCTTTTTTTAAAATTCCATCAGCTTCTCTTTCACTTTAAGAACAACAGAAAGAGAGAAAAAGTTGGCATGAGTGTCATTATGAATTCAAGTTTTATATTAGTACTTAGCTTCCTTTATTGACTATGCCCTTTAAATCTCCTCTCAAACCCCACATAGTTCCTCTTGGTTAGGGCTTTACCTACTCTAGTTCATTATCTTATTTGAACTACTTTTAGTGCATTGCCTTTGTAAATAAAATGTTTTAGGGCTTGTCGCTTGCTCTGAGTCCTTCCCTTGTCCAATAACTTATTTGCAGTGTCCAGCCAAAGGAGATCCCTACAGGCCAAAAGGGGCTGTGGTACTCTTATATATTCTCTCCTTTTCCCCCTTGGATTTGGCCTAGGGCTCTCCTGTTATATTTTCTTCTTCTGTTTCTGTTTTCTATTTTTTTTTTAAAAAAAATTTGTTCGTCAAACTTTCCAAAAGTTATTTTGAGAATTTATTTATTTATTTTTATCTTATGAAAAGTTGTTTTCAAGATTTCAAAAATTGTTCTCACAATGATGAAAATGATATGAAAACAATGGATCTTTTATGGGGTCATAACCTCTAGTAAGCCCTTGTCCTTGACTACAGAGCTCGAACTAGGAACATCTACGGCAAAAGAACTCGGTACAGTAGCCTCTAAACTAGGAATCAGTTATTCAAAAACTAGCTTTTTATCTTGTCCAATGACCTGTAAAAGTAGTTGGCAAGGTTCAATGGCTCATATGAGTTAGCAGTTTTTGATCCTTCTACCTAGTTCTTGATTGAATGTGGAGACTTGGTATCTTTGTTATACTTTACATGACTGGTTTAGGTATTAACCAATTCAAGGGGTTTGAGCCTTGTCGCTGGAAATGCAGTTTTTTTTCCTCCTATTATTTTCCTATTGACTATAAGAATAATAAATAATAAATAAATAAATAATTATTTTGTTGCCAAAAATACAAAAAGTAAATAAAAAAATGAATACACAATCCAACATGCAACTCTCCACATTAGGGAGGCCATTTAGGGAGCATCTCCCTCAAAGACTCCATTTTCTCCATAACACTTTATTTGGTGGGCCTTGGTAGAGCCCTACGATAGTAATTTGAACTGTTTAACTTGTAAGTTTCAAAGAGAAGAATATATATGTAAAAAAATAGCTTACTCTTAAACATTGATAAGTGTACCAACTTAGCATATTTTATTTTATAAAATGAATGATTTTAGTTTAACATCATATTTACCTTCAATTTCATAAAATAAAACACAATTAGTTAGTGTGTCTATCGATTTTTGATAAAGTTGATTTTTTACATATACATTTTTTTTCTTCAAGGCCTACGAGATGAATAGTTGATATTACAGTGTAGAAAAGATGGGGTCTTGAGATGAGCTACTATCAGTCACTAAAAAAATGAACCAGACCATCATAAAGGAGAACACATACCTTATTTTACTTACTTTAAATATAAGGAGTAACTTAGACATTATAAAAAAATAACAATTTCAATTTCCCACAAAATCTCAGTACTTTTTGTAAAATAAACAAAACTTGAGTTTTAAGACAGGTCGAGACAAACAATAAGCTAAGCTCATTGGACTTTTTATTTTTAAAGATTCGTTCCCGCGCACCCTGGATTTGATTTGCAGTTGGGGAAGATGATTAACGGGGCTCTAGAACAAAGTTATATTCATTCATTTTCAAAGGTGTTTTCCAATTTCATTTTGACTTAAAAAACTTGTACATCAACTTGCATTTTCTTTCTTCTCTTCCTTCTGTTTACTTTCTCATCTCCGTTTACATATATTCATACAACAATGGGTGTGATTCAAATTTTATTTTAATTTGTATAGTTTAAACTTGATTAATCTGGTTCATACACTTTTAGTGCAGTTTCACTTTGGTTATTCTGTTTAAATTTCTATTAACTTTTTCTATGTGTACACTTTAAGAGACTGACAAATGTCCTAAAATAATTACTTTTAACCTTCAACTTGAGCAGAAGACCAAATTGAAACTAGATTTATAGTGTAGAGACTAAATTGTTTAATTTGAAACGATA